AAGGTGTGCTACTGTTGACATGCCTGAGCAATGGACCAACCACTTAGCCATGGCCAAATTATGGTACAATACTAAGTCTCATACAACAACTCATATGACACCCTTTGAAGCACTATATGGCTATATCCCTACATTACTCAATTTAGTTAATAGTGGTGAGACTTTGGTTGAAGCTGTTAACTATACGATGAAAACCAGAGAACAAATTGACAAATAGCTACAGGAGAATCTTAGCAAGGCATAGGAGAGAATGAAGGTGTATGCAGACAAAAGAAGGCTTGACAGAGAATTTAACTATGGAGACTTGGTTTATTTGAAAATACAGCCGTACAAGCAATATTCATTGGCAAACTCATACTTCTATAAGTTATCATCCAGACACTATAGGCCTTACAAGGTGATGGAAAGAATAGGCAAGGTGGCATATAAATTGGAACTTCTAGTTGACATTAAGATCCACAATGTCTTCCATGTGTCACTATTAAAGAGACATTATGGCAATCACACAGTTACTGCTGAGCTACCTAGGTTTAATGAAGATGGAGACTTGCTACCTAAGCCAATGGCTATATTGGATAGACGAATGAAATAGAAGCACCATCAAGCTATTGCTGAAGTACTTGTATAGTGGGAGGAAACAAATCCTGAAAATGCAACTTGGAGGGAGCTCATGATTTACAAAGGCAATTCCCAAATTTTGAGTGAAAAGTAAGTGAAAGTACTTGAGGTCAAGCCCTTATTAAAAAGGAGGGGGGAATTGTAATAATACATAGTCAAGGCAGTTAAAAACAGGAATAAATCTGTAATTAGTTGTAAAATAATTAGTTAATTAGTGAAAAATAGTTTTTGGCACCAAATGAACGGGTAAAATCGTTGGAAGTTAAAAGCTATATATAGAACCTATTGTACCCTTTGAATGATGATGAAAATATTTTGACTTGAGTTTCCTCTATATTCTCTCTGAGAATCGTGAGTGAGTGACGAATTCTAGTGAGTTCTGACACAATGCCTTCTTGGACCATGAAATGACATTTTTCCCAATTCAAAACCAGATTGGTGTCTTGACACCTCTGTAAAACAATAGACAAATTAGCTAGACAACTATAAAAAAAATTTCAAAATAAAAAAATCATCCATAAATACTTCAATAATTTTCTCAACCAAATCAGAAAATATATAAAGCATGCACCTTTGAAAAGTGGCTGAAGCATTGTGTCATAAAAAAATCAGAGAGAATACTAACTAGCAAGTGTACTAGGTAGTTGTAGCAAGTAATAAAATTTGGAAATCAATATGAGTCCCAAGAATTATCCTCAGGGATTAGTTCTATCAATTACCATTTCACAAATCAATAACTGTTGAGCCAAACAAATTTGGAGTGTTTTGAATAATTTAACAAACAAAAGCAATAAAGTGTAGAAATCTGAAAAATACAGCAAAATAGAACTACGAATTTGGTAATGGAATGATATGTAAATGAAGTTAGGAATGATTTCACCTCTTTATTAATTGCAAAATTGAATGAGATTTTAACTCTAAGTTCTTTAATTGATTGATGATCAATTTTACTAGATTAATCAAAGGACAATTCCTTGCCTCATTGATCCTAATATCTAACTAAACTACCCTAATTCCTTAGGTGTAATTCAATCAAACATTGCATTAGGCATTAGAAATTAAGAGATCACAAGATCATGAATTCTTATCCCTAAGATATCAATAACCTTGACATTTAATTCAGATATGAGAAATAAACTCAATTTCCATTGACGAAGATTCCTCTAAGTTCAATTGAATAAATGATTAGTTCACAATTTCATTAAAGATAGAATTAAACGTTCAATACAATCAAAGTCTTAAAATTCAGATCCATAATCAAGATACAATGTCAAAGTGATAACGCGCAGAAGGCGGGAAAAATTATAAATTGCAGAAATGCTCAGATTTTTGGATCTTTTGTTCATTTTTTGTTTTCACTTTGTTTCTTGGTGTGGACAGAGTCTGAGAGAAATATTGGGGATGAACACCGAGCTTCAACCTAGAGGAATCAGATTGAAGATCAGTTGAAGATGCTTCTTCTACATTCTTTCTCTTCTTCTCTTTCTTTTTCTTTCTCTGTTGTAATGGCTGTGTAATTTCTTCATAGTTAGGGATTGTGGATCCAAAACGAACGTGTTGACTCGATTCTGGATCTGACTTTTGAGTTTTGGAATGGATTGAGTGATTGATTCTGCATTTTACATAGTGATTGAATGGAAATTCGATTAACTAATTACAGAGAAACTCTTATAAATGGAAATTGGATTTGTTTCTCAAATATGAATCAATTACCAAGATTATAGCTTTCTTAGGGATAAGAGAACTTGATCTTGAAATCTTCTGGTTTCTTACACTTAAAGCAACATTGAATTGAACCAGATCTAAGGAATTAGAGTGATTTGATTGAATGTTAGGTTCACTGAGTTAAGGAACTAACCTTTGAATAATAAAACGTGAAACTGATTGTCATTCTTTCTAATTACTTGAAAGTTCAAATTCTTATTGATTCAACATTGAAGTTTTGGTGAAACAACTCCCTAGCTATGTCTTCCACATCTGTTCATCACACATTTACATATTCATTGTTCTATTTTTCTTCTGATTTTAATATTTGTCAATTCTAATTCCAAACACTCTTTGAAATTCGTGAAGCTCAACTAATTGTGGCCTTATGAAGTGGTAATTGAATACTTTTATTCCCTAAGATCGATACTTAGGACTCTAACATAGTTTTATCATTTTTATAACTTGCTACATCAACACTAGTACAGTTGCTAGTCAAATTAACTTCTCCTTAGAAGTGTGACACACACAGCACACAACCCACATTGCATTCAAATACACGGCACTAGGCCCACATTCATTTCACATTACACGACACATAGCCAATATTAATTTATATTACACGGCCCACATTTGTTCACAATATTCATTCGATCATGCAACATCTAGCATACAATTCATACTCATCCATTTCGGGTAAACACACACAATATTCACATCTCACAACACATGGCCCTCATCACATTTCTCAATTAACTCTTATTCTCTACATGTTTTCTACCTTCGACTCAGCCACAACTCCATATTCAATCAATTATATGTAAAAAGAGCAGGGTAAAGTCCCCCTTACCTTGGATTGAAGACCCACACGCTAAATCCACCAATAAGTGTTCCCCCTCACAGATTTCGTCCTAAACACATGGAGAAACTCCATTAGAACTCAGGGAAACTACAAAAATAGAGAAAGGGAATGAAAACGGAAATCCTAATCATTAAAACTCACCTCCAAGCGTTCCCCACATGGATTCAACCTTCAATCAAGCTCCTGAATGACTTTGGAGGCAATGTAATAGGTAGAAAAGGATTCTTGTAACATCCCCAATTTTGGTTTACACGGCATGGATTGTTCGTTTACTACGCCAAAAATGAGATCTAAGAGCTGTTCCGCTTGAATTAAGAGAGCGGTTAGTGGTGCTTTAAAATCACGTGCTATCCAATGTCTTCATTTTTGGAGAGCGGTTATTTAACCGCTCTCAAATGTATATTTTGGAGAGCGGTTACGAGGTTAACTGCTCTCAGAAGTTCACTAAAGAGAGTGGTTAAGCACGTAACCGCTCTACAAAATATAGTACTTTGGAGAGCGGTTAAGATTGAACCGCTCTTAGAAGTTAGACTAAAGAGAGCGGTTGACAGCTTAACCGCTCTCTTATCTCAAACTTATGAGAGGGGTTAAACTTGAACCACTCTCCAAAATGTACTTCTGAGAGCGGTTAAAGTTTAACCGCTCTCCAAAGTGAACTTCTAAGAGCGGTTTATATTTAACCGCTCTCTTAAGTGTTCTTATGAGAGCGGTTATTGTATGAACCGCTCTCAGAAGTGGACTTTGCAAAGCAGTTCTTTTTGAATTGCTCTCTAAAGTTAAGAAACATTTTTAAATATTTTAATAAAAATGGCATAGAACCTTTTTTTAGCATACCTGGTAAATTATACAGTATTCAGAACTAATTCAAACAGAATATAAAATTCAAACAGAGCCTGATTTACCAGAATTTCAGAGTAATTGCACATTGTATTATTCAATTACAACTCACATATACAGATTACAATCAATCAGAGTCTCATATTTACACATTTTGCCTAGCCTTGAAAGAAAATTGTCTAAATATTGTAAAAGAACACTAATAATCTATTGTGCTTAATGTCTCCTTTAAATATCTATGGTACATATATGAATACCACTTCTTTTGCAATTGAAAAATTTTGTTGTCAAGAAAAGTTGACATCTGCACCTCTGGAAAGCACTGAAATACAAGGACAGGGAAAACAAAGCTTAATTAATTAAGTGAAATAATAAGCATATAGCAAACGAATTAGAATGTGTAAGATTATTACATTTACTGGGATTACAGTTTGTCCATGGTGCAAAGCATCCCCAATGAATAGACACACATAATATCTACAATCATCATTATTTGTTTGCTTAGGACACTGTGTGGAAGATAAAAATCAAATAAAACAGCATTAACTAAGAATGAAATACAATGCATTTACGATTTAGCTGAAAATTAAAAACATGAGATATGATATAGTCTTACCTGCAAAGTGACCCATTTTGTTTGACTCATTTTTGTACTAGAGGGCTGCACTCTCCTCTCTGCTCGATACATGACAAGAGCACTAAAAGTTGTGAGTCAAAGAAATTAGATACATTTGAACCACTTAACATTAATCATAGTTGGTTGACATAAATGAATGCTTACTTATTAAATAGGTTTTACATGTGTGTTTTGAACTTCAGCTGCTTGCGTAGAGGGTCCATATAATAGATAGTCTCGTCAGCAGTATTGATGGCAACCAAGACCCAATGTTGCCTACCACGAGTATAAATATCATTTTAAGATTACTAAGTTTAAAAGTTATATGCTAAATTATAAAACATAAAGCAGAGTCTCAATGACTTATCCAACATTATAAGGTGCAAAAATCAAGTGATCCTCACCCATATGACGCTTCAACATTTCAGCTATATGTTGATGTTGGTTTGGATTGAGCGCTTCGTCCATTTCATACAGAGATATAAATGAGAATCTATTTGCCATTATCCCATGCAAATAAGCTTCACACAAATATCTTGTTTTGCAAAAGTAGAATTGAACATTATTAAATAAAGGTTATAAAAGTTATAAATTGACTATGAATTATATAATTTGAAAATTAATGTACCGTATGTAAAAGTTAATGGTAGAGGCACTTAACCAATGTCGATGTATGACCTCTATGATGTTTTCCTTCCCCACAATGTCACAAAACTCTTTACCCCATTGCTCACTTGTCAGTTGAATTGTAGCTGTATCAATGGTTTGATCACTTCTTACAAACAACTTCATCATATCCAAGTATGCAGCACCTTGGGCTTCTGCCAACTTCAAAATCTCTGATGACACACAACCAGTGCTACCTTTACTGGATGGACCAGCAATGGACTCTTTTGAGTAGCTTGTCTCTTTCCCTAACCCTTTACCTGATGAAGGGGCAACCTGAAAAGAACAAACCCTTTTAATTGTAACATCTAGCAATAAGAACTATAAAGAAACACGTTTACATACCTTGGGTCTTAAATTGATTAGGGACAATGGCCAAGCAACATAAGTACCAATGACATCTCTCAGGGAATACAAGTTTGCTTGTTCATTTGGGACAGGCAGTGCAGAGTCCTCCTTATGTCGTTGCACTACCCCTATAGAAACCTTACCATGCTTTGGACGAAGAGTCATATTATTTAAGGAGTCCCCAGCCACTGTATGATATACTCTACCTCTTGTAACCACACGAAAAGGTTTGTTCAAGTATAGCATACAGTCATGATCACCCTACAAATAAAAGTTTGTTATATTACGCAAAAATTAAATCAAAAGCATTAAACATTAAAAGGTAAATGATGATTTACTGTAGTTTAAATACCTCTGGAATCTCAACAGATGCAATTGGTGTGCAACTGCCTTTATGGCTGTAACATCCTGAATTTCGGTAATATTAATTATTGTTATTTATATAATCTAAATGCATATGTGTGTGTGTGTGTATATATATATATATGTGTGTGTGTGTGTTGATTTACTTGATAATGATGTTTATGTGTACTAAGTATATAGATGTGTGTATGCATGATTGGATAGGGCTGAAATGGGCTAAGTGCCTAAGTACAGGGCGTGATACTGGGCTGTTCTCGCTGCAGCGAGAGGATTCTCGCTGTAGTGAGAGGGCCTGAGAAAAAGGACTAAAACTGTCGCCATCTCACTGTAGCGAGAGACGTCTCGCTGTAGCGACAGAGCGACAATTTGGAGTGCATTTCTAAGTCCAGTCTAGTTGTAGCGAGATTCTGCAGAAATCAGAGTGCAGTTTCGTCTGATATTTTCGCTGCAGCGTGAAGGCGTGTAGCGAGAGTGTCACGACCAGAAAAGGATTTTAAGGGGGTTAGGGCTCGGGGAGGGTTATCTCTCCCTCTCCCTTCGAAATCCCTTGGATCCTCTCATACCCAAAGCCCTATTCCACCGATTAATTGCCTCCAAAGCCGTTCGGGATCTTGATTGAAGGTTGAATCCGTGTGCAGAACACTTGGAGGTGAGTTTTAATGGTTAGGGTTCTATTTCTCATCCCCTTTTCTCCATTTCTGAGTTTCCTGTGGTTCTCATGGAGTTTCTCCATGTGTTTAGGATGAAATCCATGAGGGAAGCATTTCTTGGTAGATTTAGTGTGTGAGTCGTCAATCCAAGGTAGGGGGAGACTATACCTATCTCAAATGTGTTGTAATTCTTATGTGTTTTGTTAATTAATGCAATGTGGCTGAGATAGGGAGTAAAATTGCGTGTTGAATGGAAATTGGTGTGCAATGTGATGTGTGCTAGAACAGTTAGGCCCCGTGGGGGTGATTGTGTGTGATTGAATGCCATTGATTGGCGAATTAATGATATTGTGAATGAATGAAGGCTATGTACCGTATATTGTGGATAAAACGTGGGCTATGTTGATAGTCATATTTTAGTAAATCTTTCTCTCCATGTATTTGGTTTAATTGATTCTCATTAGTGTACTATTTTGATGTATTAATTTAGATTTGTGTTGGTAAGTCATGTAGGATTTAAATGTAAATCTTTCTTAATTCCCGCCATAATTTCTTGTTTTGACACAGTTTCTTGCAAAGACCATATTTGGAGCTACACTACTCGGAATTGAACAAAATCTATCGAATTTCTTCCTTTTTCTCTTTTCTGATTAGGTTAATTAAGTTTTTCATGATATTGAATTTTTGTTTGTATCCTAAGCAGAGAATGAGTTAATTTCTAATTTGAAATAATTGAATTCACCTAATTCAATTCAATCAATCAATTGTTCTGAATTTCGTTAGAATGTTGGATTTGCGATTACGGTTCTTGTTTTGATGAAATTCATAATCTAAATTTAGATTTCAAAGTATTAATGTCAAATTGAATTAGTGTTGATTGGAATTTCATTGGAATTGTATTCGTGTGAACAATGAGAATTGCATTGTAGGGATTGAGATCTTGAATTCGTTGAAGTTCATATTTTGTTGGAATTGTTCTTTATTCTTCTTCTGTTATTTACAATTAAATTCAAAACAAATCCTCCCCCAAGCTAACTGTAAACTGTATGATGGAACCGAAAGCAAAATGCATTTTATGTCCTTGCGAGATGACCTAGGTTTGCTCCTTATATTGCAAAATTGTTGAGAAAATCTAGCTTGTTTGATACCATTGTGACGTGGTTATCAAAATAGCACCGTTCCTGGGGACATAAGTCATTTTGTTTTTATTTCATCACATGCACTAACTGATTCTGTGATTCTGTGTTTAAACATTTATGCATTTTGTTGTTTATTATGTTCTGTGTTAGTTTCCAAACTTTGTTCTTGTGTAATTGATCCTGAGACTCGTTTTTGCATTCTGTAATTGATTTGTTTTTGCATTGTTGTAGTATTAATCTGCTGTTCATCGTGTTGTCCTCTATGATTTGTTGTTTGTTTTCTTCAATAATCATTCCTAATTTCCAGTTTGATCACTAAGTATTTCGTGTTTGATGTCTTGTGTTGTTTGCAATCTAAACACTAGCAAGTGCACTAGGATTGCAGCAAGTAATGGGTAATTTTTAAGAATAGGATATCGTCTCCATAGGGAATTTATATTTCAAGTATCAATTCACTAAATTGTAACCATTTGAGCCATCGAATTTGGGAGAAGAGTTGTAACATACGAAAGCAATAAACCAAAGCAATTAAGAGTAAAGAAGAACGTGCAGAAAATAGATCAATGAATGCAATGTGAGATTAGAAATGGATTGAAAGGTAGTTAGGAATTTACTTCACAAGAATGTCAATATTAATTCAATTATGCTTCTGAAAATTCAAGAACTTGGTTAATTAACAATCGGTTTTGCATTTTAATAGCCAAAGGTTAATTCCTTAACTTATTGACCCTAACAAGTAACTAAACCACCCTAATCCCTTAGGTGAAGTTCAATTTCATGTTGCATTAAGACTTGGAACATTAGGATTGCAGAATTAAGTGTACTTATCCCTAAGAAACCCCTAATTCTGGTTGTTCATTCAGATCAGAGAATCAAATCCAATTCCCATTGGCAAATGTTCCTCCAAGGTTAATTAAATGAATTTCCATTCAAAGATTATGTAAAAGTGCAGAATTAACAACTTAATTAATCCAAATACTCGAATTGAAGAAGTAAGAATCAAATCAATACATCAATTCAAGTTCCATAAACCCCTAACTACAAGAAAACTACTCAGACATAGGAGAAGAGAAAGAGAAAGAAGAAGAAGAAGAAGGAGAAAAACTCCAAGAAGCCATGGCCGAAAGCTTCAATCCGATTCTTCTTTGTGGAAGCTTCAAGACTTGACCCCAATCTTCTCTCTCAATCCCTCTCAACGACAATCTAACAGAAAAACAAAAAAATAAAATTGAATCCTCGAAAATTTGAGCGCTTCTGGTATTTATAAAGATTCCCAGATTTGCGCGTTATCACTTTCCTCAAAAATAGTAGCTACGCAGAAGGTTAGTTGGTTCCGCGTTAACACTTTTATGAGAAAAAGTGGCTACGCGCAACTTTGCTGGATTGAGAGCTCTCTGGAACTATCACTCTTGCTGATAAAAGTGTCACTGTAAAGCTCAAGTAGTTGCGCGTTATCACTTTTATGAATAAAAGTGACTACGCACAACTCGCCAAGTTAAAGGCTCTCTGGAACGATCACTTTCGATGACAATAGTGATTACGCGGAGCTTTCCTGATATTTTGCCTCTCTAGAACGCTCACTTTTAATGATAAAAGTGATAACGCTGAGCATGCTGAGTCTGAGGTTTCTCTAGAACTCTCACTTTACCTGGCAAAAGTGGTAACGCCCAGGCTTCACTTCTTCTTTGAGCTCTGGAGTGATCACTTTCACTGATAATAGTGATCACGCCCAGCCTGCATTTCCTTGTTCTTGTGTTTTGGAGTCCAAACTTGCTACTTTTGCTCTTCCTTTGCATTATACTTCCATTCTCATGAACCTTGCTCAGATTATTTCTACAAAAACAAGATTAAAAACTTAATTCCTAAGCAAAAATTTCACAATTGCTAAGATAACTACAAATTGAAAGAAAACTTCAATTCATTCTCTTTTTCTGAGTTTTTCTGCTTTCTTTATATATTTTTCTTATCAAATGAGTGTTACTTTTACAACTGCTGTTACACTGTAAGAAAACTGACTAGCAAGTGTACTAGTGTTGTTGTAGCAAGTTATAAAAAATCTTAGAATCAAATTGAGTTCCAAGTATCATCCTCAGGGAATAAAGTTCGCAATTACCACTTTACAAGATCACAATTAGTTGAGCTTTACAAATTTCAGATGGATTTGGTATGAATGTATCAAAAATGAAATTAGAAAGTAAAACAGAATAGTTAGCATAAAAGTATATAGTAAACAGATGTAGAAAGAGTAGTTAGGAAATTGTTTCACCAAAACTTCAACATTGAATCAATAAAGTTCTGAACTTTCAAGCATTTAGATGGAATGACAATCAGTTTTACGTTATATTAATCAAAGGACAATCCCTTGCCTCAATGAATCTAGCATCTAATCAAATCACTCTAATCCCTTAGATCTAATCCAATCAAATGCTGCATTAAGTTTGAGAAACCAAAAGATTGCAAGATTAAGATATCTTATCCCTAAGAAACCAATAACCTTGGCAATTAATTCAGATCTGAGAAAAAAATTCAATTCCCATTGATAAGAGTTCCTCTATGATTAGTTGATCAAATTTCCATTCAATCACTACTTTAACAGCAGAATCAATCACTCAATCCAATCTGAAACTCAAAGTTCAGATCCAAAATCAATTCAACATTTCTATTTCAGATTCACAGTTCCTAACCACAAAGAGTTTAAGCAAACATTACAAAAAGAGAAGAGAAGAGAAGAGAAGAAGAGAATGAACAAAGAAGAAACATCTTCAAGCCAATCTCCAATCTGATCCCTCAAGAAATGAAGCTTGGTGTTCGTCCTCAATCTCCCTCTCTGACTCTCTCCACAACAAAAACAAAACAGAGAATGAAAAATGAACCAAAAATTTCTTTTTTTTTCCCTGAGCTAACTGTCTTTTATAGAATTCCCGCTATGCTGGCGTGATCACTTTTACTGGTGATAGTAGCCACGCACCCTTCAAAGTGTTCACTTTTGTTGAAAATAGTAGCCACGCAGAAGCTTCCCTTACTAATGTCATGCGCGTGTTCACTTCTGCTAGAAATAATGAACACGCAGAGACTACCTTCTTGCGCGTGTTCATTTTTGTGGATAATAGTGCTCTCTGGAACGCTCACTTTTTCCAGAAAAAGTGATTACGCAGAAGCTCTTCTCAATGTAACCTTGATGAATCCACTTTTTATTATATTTTTACTTGCCTTTTTGGTGCTCCTTGATAGAAAAAATGGACTTAGATAGTGTAAATAATACAGAAATCACATTTTGAGTAAATATCATAGGTTTATTAATTTTTGGTTAATTTTCATTTAATTACATAGATATAGATTGCAATTTTAATTATCTTGATGATTTTCCAGAGTCCCCAAGCTAATTTTGAGAAATCTTGGCCCTTGGACGAAAGTTGACCCCAAAGTAGCCACTTTCAGGAGCAAAAGTAGCAACTACAGCAAGTCTGGGCTTTAAGGGTCCAAAGTAACTACTTTCAACCTTCATAGTAGCAACTCCAGAAAGCTCCAGGGACGCCGTTTGGGAAGCAATTTACGCGTGGACACTATTGCCTTTCATAGTGGCTACGCGCATCCAAAGTAGCCACTGTCAACCTTCATAGTAGCAACTCCAAAAAGCTCCAGGGACGCCACTTGAGAAGCAATTTGCGCGTGGACACTATTGTCTTTCATAGTGGCTACGCGCATCCAAAGTAGCTATTTTCAGCATGAAAAGTGGCAACTCTAGAGAACTTGCAAACCACGTATATGCGCGTGGACACTCTCAAGAGTCAAAGTGGACACTTTCAAAGCAAAAGTGGGCACTTTGCTGACATGTCCTCCACTATAAATAGATTTTAGGAATTAGGGTACGGGAGCTTGGACTTTTATTTTTCTTTCATTCATTTTGCAAAATTAGGATATTTTTCTTGCCAGAGCTTTGGAATCTTGGGTGACAGCCAGGGATCCATTATAGGTTTTAATTTCCATTGATTCTACATTAATGTTGTTTACTTTTCTGCATTCCCTTCTTTCATTTGTGAAGCCCATCCATATGGAGGGCTAAATTTTCTGGTAATTCCTAGTCAACTCACATGGTTTATGAATTCTTGGGTTTAATGGCAATATTACTCTTTCTTTCCTTGGATTTATTAACCCCAATCTCTGAATGAAATGAATTTTACATGAGGGGAACATTGCTTAATGAACCCTAAATTACCCAAACTAAATTCTAATCCAAAATTGCTTAATTTTGATTAATCTTTGAGATTGCTTAATCTTAGGGATAGAAATTGGAGCCCATTAAGATGCTTAATTTTAATTGGGATGCTAAAGTTAATTTTCGCTTGTTAGATTAACTTAATTCAAGGGAAGAAAAGGGGATTATTGAATCATTTGAAAGAATTGGGATAAAACTCATTGATTGACTAGGGATTACTCTTCCTAATTGATTGAATTTCACTAGTTTACATTTCGCTCTTGATTAAAATCTGAAAATTGACAAACCTCCCCCCAATTTATTTGCTTTAAAATATATGTTTACACTTGTTCGATGTATGTTCCCAACCAAAAATTCCTTGGAGACGACCTAGGATAACACCCTAGTATTGCATTCATTTCTTTGCATATTTGATGAGGATTAACGACAATCTTTGTGCATAACGAGTAGCAAAACATCGTTTCATCAAACCTCTCTGGAACGATCACTTTTGCCAGCAAAAGTGATTAAGCAGAAACTCTTCTTCATTTTATGGTTCTGGAGTGATCACTTTCACCAGCGAAAGTAATCACTCAGAGGCTGTTCTTCAATTATCAACTTCTTTCCTCCAATTTTTTTGCTAATTTTCTTCTATTTTTCCTTTGATCATCCAATCCTCATGAACTTAGCTCAGAATTCCCTACAAAAGCATACTTGAATTGTCACTCTTTACATAGAAAATCAATGAATTTTAAAATAACTATGTTTAAAAGTGACATGCAACATTTTATTATTTTTTTAAGGGTTTTCTACTATTTCTAGCATGTTTTGTTTATTAATTGCACTAAAAAATATTGTAAAATACTAGTAAAATATGGATTCATCACTATCCCAAACTTGAATTTTTGCTTGTCCTCAAGCAAATTAGGACATATCAAGGGTGTAAATTCTTATTAATTGAAATCCAAATTTTTTTTACATTTTTCAAAAAAATTCAGATTAAAAATCCATTTTACTTCAATGCATTCTAATTATTTTCTCACTAAGTCATTCACCAATTCTTCATCATGATAGTCACACTTGAATTATCTGTTTGCTGCACAATCTCATTCATTTCAATCAAGCAAATCATTAAAGCTACATGCAAACAGAGTTTAGAAATATTATCACAGCTCTCAGAAAGTGGTTCTCTAACTCAATCAGTGTTTAAGCTTGTGTTTGCTCTCATCATCACCAAATTCATCAAACTCTGCCATAAGCTTGCCTATATTCTTTACCTCCTTTGCAAATTTACAATTAATCACATATCAAGAGGACTTTTTAGGTAATATTAAGGCTCAGGGATAGGTATGATTTCAGTGAATTCAGGATATCAATGCAGCTAATTTCAAACAGAAAAAGATGCAAATTGAGTAGATAAGCTTTTAAACTTAGTAAGGGCTGCATCAACTGTTTCTATTCTTAATCAACTTTCAATCACAATTTAAATTTTTGCAGAATTATCTACCAATTTTCTTTTCCTTTTTGATTTGCTGATTTCTTTTTACTTCTTTTTCATTTTTCTATTTTTACTTGTAGCTTTTTACTTCTTTTTCATATTTTCTCTGCATGACTTTTTCTTACTTTCTTATTTCATTTCAATTCTTTTCTCAATCCTTTTCTACCCCAAACTTAGAACATTACTTGTCCTTAAGTAATGCACTAGAAACATGATGTTACCCCAAACTTAGTTTTAAAACTTATCTTTGATTCAACTCAATTTGCCTCTTTTCTATTTGAATAGGTAAAATGATTTTTCTAGAAAAGCTTGTATTGAGGTTGATCAAAGAAAGGCTATCAGCTCAAAGGGGCTAACTAGGACATTCAAGAATGAAAGGTAATATATTTGGCTCACTAGGTAAATCTGAATAATGGCCTCCATCCTTTATGTGATTAGTGCAAAACAGCATATTCAGTTAAGAAACAAAGCAAGTTCTAGAGAGTGAATCAGAATTTGAGATCAGTCACACATCAATGAATGAAAAGGTTCAAGTCTTACCAAGGAAGTAAATGGATAATATTCATCAATTCAGTTCACTATTTACTTCAAAAATTTGCATGAATAAAATGGCAAGACTACTTTATTTTTTTAATATACAAGTATGACAATCATGTTAAGAATGGGAAAAACAACATATGTAATTCAACAATCAGAATTTCAATCAGGTGAAAATTAGGTTTATTTATTAAGAAAACAAAATCTAATGCAGTTTAATATTTTTCTAACTTGTGAATATTTTATGCAAAATGTAAGCTATACACATGAAAATAGAGGTACAAAATTAAACCCCCTTTCATGGTAGCTGTGCATATTTCAATCATTCCATGCGCTTCTTGTTCAGAGTTTGAGAGCATGGTCTGCACAAAAACAGCACAAGTTGTCCATCAATTATCAAATAAAAATTCAATAAAATTCAAAGCTAGTAGATATTTAAAACAGAATTGTTCATAACCAAAATAAAACTAAAATGTAATTACAACACTCAAAAGTCTGAAATTCTAATTACAATCTTTTTACAAAAATTAAAATAATGACAGAAATTTAAATTCCTAATCTACTCTTCATCTTCATCATCATCCTCATCTTCCAAATTATCATCTTCTTCCTCTGCTTCTTCCTCTTCTGCAGTAGCTGCTGGTGGAGGAAAATGAGTTCTGTAGATGGGGAGGTCTTTGAAGACAGCTGACCTCAGGCATTGGGCATTCTCTGCTTGATTTGGAGTGTGGTACAAGTCTTCTTTGGTCATGCCTATCTTTTGACCAATGTTCATGAGAACACCTTCCAAGGGCATAATGCTAGTCTTCATACTGCTGTGCAACTTATTCTGCCTCTCAAATAAGGAGTTTTGTCTTTCAGCCATGAAGGCTATCTTCTCCTTCATTGTGGTTGGATTCTCTCTTTTGAACTGGAAGGGAATTGGAGCTGCTGATGTGCAAGAGACAGTAGCATAAATCTCCTTCACCATAGCTACTGTAATTGGAGGTGCAACTCTAATTTTGATTTGATAATCTCCAATTTCAATACCTGCATCCTCACAAGGAACAGTTATTAACGAAGGGAAAGCTAGAGAATCTCTTTTTCTCTTGAGGATGTCCAGAATGCATCCATTAATCACTTCTCCTACATCTATATAAAAATTATTGACTATAGCATATAGGAGTTTAGCTCTCTACACTACTAGAGTGAAGCTATGCCTAACAGGCATGAATGAACTCAAAATAAAGGTGCTCCACACTTTTGCAAAGGGCAAAAGGTTCTTGGTTGTGATGCATTTGGGCTTTTCTGATAGATTCAGTTCCCAAGTGGTCGCTGGTTTCCCAATCCTCTTAAGGACTTGAACATAGTCCTTGTCTTCAGCATCCCTGAATGCTTTAAAGTCTTGCTGCTTAGGTTGTTTTTGAGTCTTAATGTTGAGGAAGGACTCTATTGATGTTAGCAGCAGAAAAATCAACTGTCGTCCCCTTGACTATTGAATGGTATTTAGGCAACTGATCTCCCTTGAATCTCATGGCATTGGCATAAAATTCCTGTGTAATGTCTCTCCAGCCAATGCCAGCCATCATGCAAAAGGATTCCCATTCTCTTTTCTGAATTTCCTCCTTGTATTCTGGATAATGGTCTTCAGCTATCTTAATTGCTCTATCTTGGACAATCTTTCTTCTCAAGATATTAGCTCTGAAATAATTCTCATGAGCTATGCTCTTGAACCTTGGATCATGTTGAGGGTTTGGCCTTGATGAAGAGGCTCCTGCTAATCTTCCTTTCTTTGTTCTAGGAGTACCTTTAGAAGAGCCAACTGGAGTGTTGTCTGATGTCCTTACCATTTTTAAAATTTCCTGCATAAAAAGAATATTTCAATATACTGAAAGACATGAATGCAATGCAATGCAGGACATTTTCAATTTCAGAATAACAGAATATGAATAATGCAGAACATAAGAATATCATAACAATGCAGAATATGGTTCCTTGAAGCATTTAAACTCAGATATTCATGATTTTGAATGCAAAATGCTAGAGTTCAAGAGTTATATTTATGTAGAAATTTCTTTCTAACTATTTTTCACTTTAAGTGCTAAGGTTAACTCATGCAATCTGTCAATGTAGGTCTTTTTCCATCTAAAAATCTATCAATTGAAGTGAGAATTACTCTACATTGCCTTGTAATTGCATATTCAGATTAGTTATTAACAAGAAAATTTCAATTTTTTCATTACTCAGTGTTTTCCACAATTCTGCAAAATGAAGAACCCTAATTTCTAAATCAAAGAAGTAGAATACTGACCTGGATTTGGAGAAATGTGCAGAATGAACTTCAATTGATTGTTTAGAAACAAATTTCGTTCAGCAAAAAGTCAGAAAGATCAAGAATTTGAGAAATGAGATGAAGAAATGAAGATTTGAGATTTTGAAAATGGCTTTGTGTTGTTCGTTTTATGCATTTTAATGGACACGCTTACTGCACGTGGCCACTTTTTTCTAAAAAAAATGGAAGCTGTAGAGATGATGCTGTGTGCGTGTTCACTATTGCTGACAAAAGTGAACACTTTGAGGGTAAATAGTATGCGCATGTTCACTATTGCTAGAAATAGTGAACGTTCCAGAGGGCTTTGCATTGAGTAATTTGAAATGAGCTGCGCGTGTTCACTTTTTTTGGAAAAAGTGATCACGCGCAGGTAGTATCCTTCTGCGTGATTACTATTCCTAGAAAAAGTGGTAACGCGCATCAACCTTGACTTGTAACTATACCTTACTCATGTGCGTGATCACTATTATTGGACAAAGTAACTACGCGCATCACATTACCTCTATTTAAGCCTGGGCGTGGTTACTTTCACTGGGAAAAGTGATTGTTCCAGAGAAGGGTGTCTTTCAAAGGGTTCTGCGTGTTCACTTTCATCAGCAAAAGTGATTGTTCCAGATAAGGGTGTCGTTCCTTGCTCCTCTGCGTGATCACTTTCATCAGCAAAAGTGATTGTTCAGAATGGAACACTGTAATTAAAGCTCTACGTGATCACTTTTCTGCAAAATAGTGACTCCTTTTGTTATTCAAAGCTCCTTAGAAACTTAATTACCTCATGCATTCAATTTCAATCATCTCATTTATGCATCCACAACATAAGCCTTCATTAAATTAACACATTATTCCTAAAACAAATAAAACAGAATCTAAAATCAGAAAATTGCAGAAATTGTAATAAAGAATTAACAAAAGTTTAAGTAAAATGCAAATAGAGTAAAAATGGTTCAGAAATGTGAGTTGCCTCTCACAAAGCGCTCTTTTAACGTCACTAGCTTGACGTTAAATGTTCCTCACTGCTGAGAAACCAAGTTAATGCAAAAGGTGTTCCTATTGAATTCTCCTCCATTGTAAATCTTCAGTCTTTGGCCATTGACTTTAAACTTTCTCCCTTCTCTCTGATCTTCAAGTAACACAGCACCAAAGGGAGATACTTCCTTTACCATAAAAGGTCCTGACCATCTAGACTTGATTTTTCCAGGGAACAACTTCAATCTAGAGTTGAATAGTAGAACTAGCTGCCGTGGTTTGAATTCTCTCTGCAGGATTAATTTGTCATGTATTCTTTTAGTCCTTTCTTTATACAGTTTTGCATTTTCATATGCAAATTGTCTGAATTCCTCCAGTTCATGTAGCTGTAGCACTCTCTTTTCTCCAGCCTTGGTTGAATCAAAATTGATATGCTCTATGTTCAAGTTCAACAGGAAGATGACATGATTTCCCAAACACTAATTGATATGGTGACATACCAATTGGTGTTTTGAATGCAGTTCTGTATGCCCATAATGTATCATCAAGCTTCCTTGACCAATCTTTTCTTGAGTTACTTACTACTTTCTCTAAGATCTTCTTAATTTCTCTGTTTGAAATTTCCACTTGTCCACTTGTTTGAGGATGATAAGGAGTTGTTACTCTGTGTTTTACTCCATACTTATCCAGAACATTATCAAGGTATTTATTGCAGAAGTGTGATCCTCCATCACTAATTAGAATTCTTGGCACTCCAAATCTTGGAAAAATGTTTTTCTTTATGAAGGAAATCACCACTTTGACTTCATTTGTTCTAGTTGGTATAGCTTCCACCCATTTAGACACATAATCTACTGCCACAAGTATGTATTCATGAGAAAAAGAAGTTGGAAAGGGTCTCATAAAGTCTATTCCCCATACATCAAACAGTTTCACCTCCAAGATATTGTTTAAAGGCATCTCATGTCTTCTGGAAATGTTACCAACTCTTTGGCATTTATCACAGTTTTCTACATAAATTTTTGCATCTCTGAACAATGTAGGCCAGAAAAATCTAGCTTGTAATACTTTGGCACCTGTTCTTGATCCATCATGATGGCCTCCATAATCTGAATTGTGACAATGCCATAGGATATCAGCTTGTTCTTTCTGTGAAATACATCTTCTCAAAATGCCATCTACTCTAATTTTGAATAGATGAGGATCTTCCCAAATATAGAACTTGCTGTCATGAAGAAATTTCTTTCCTTGCTGCCAATTCATTCTCTTTGGAATTGCTGAGTGGCCTTAAAATTTGCTATATCAGCAAACCAAGGTAATTCATCTACAGTTAGTAGCTTTTCATTTGGAAATTCTTCATTAATATCCAAGTAATCTAATGGCATTGTGTCCAATGGAATTCTGGATAGATGGTCACGTAACACCATTCTCTTTTCCTTTCTTATCTCGAATTTCTAACTCAAATTCTTGAAGTAGTAGAATCCATCTCAGCAGTCTTGGTTTAGCATCCTACTTAGAAAACAAATATTTCAGAGCAGCATGGTCAGTATATACCACAACCTTGGACCCTACTAAATAAGACCTGAATTTATCAAAAGTAAATACTATAGCAAGAACCTCTTTTTCAGTGGTTGTGTAATTAATCTGTGCAGAGTTTAGGACTCTACTAGCATAGTAAATCACATGTAGTCTTTTATCTTTTCTTTATCCTAATATAGCACCCACTGCATTGTCACTTGCATCACACATTAGCTCAAATTGTACAGTCCAGTCAGGTTTAACAAGAATTGGAGCAGAAATTAGTTTTTCTTTTAAAACAGTAAAAACATGCATACAAGATTCATCAAATACAAATGCTGCATCCTTTACAAGCAAGTCACTAAGAGGTTTGACAATTTTAGAAAAATCTTTAATGAACCTCCTATAAAACCCAGCATGGCCTAAGAAACTTCTAATTCCTTTCACATTCACAGGTGGAGGTAATTTACTAATCACTTCTATTTTAGCTTGATCAACCTCCACCCCTCTAATTGAAATCTTATGGCCAAGCACTATTCCTTCTTGCACCATAAAGTGACATTTCTCCCAATTCAATACCAAGTTGGTGTCTTGACATCTCTGCAAAACAATGGACAAATTAGATAAATAATCATCAAATGAATTCCCAAAAACAGAAAAATCGTCCATGAATACCTCAATTATTTTCTCAACCAAGTCAGAAAAAATAGCTAACATGCACCTTTGAAATGTAGCTGGAGCATACACAGCCCAAAAGGCATTCTTTTATATGCAAATATTCCAAAGGGACAAGTAAAAGCAATTTTTTCTTGATCAATTGGATCTACAGCAATTTGGTTATAGCTAGAATATCCATCTAAAAAGCAGTAAAATGCATGTCCAGCTAACCTTTCTAGCATTTGGTCTGCAGAAGGTAGAGGAAAATGATCTTATTTGGTTGCATCATTCAGCTTTCTATAATCTATACACATCCTCCATCCTGGGATAGTCCTTGTGGGTATCAACTCATTTCACCCTTTTTAGGTACCACTTGCACAGGACTTACCCAATTGCTGTCTGAAATAGAATATATGATCCCTGCATCTAATAGTTTAATGACTTCCTTCCTTACCACTTCCTTCATAGCAGGGTTTAATCTTCTTTGAGGCTGCACAACTGGTTTAAAATTTTCTTCAAAT